AAACCATTTTATAAAACACAATCTCTTTCATATCTAAGTTGCTATAAATGTTTACTATGTAATTTATTGTATTTTTTTTTGCAGGTTTTATCAGACGAATAAATGCTAAAAACTTACTGAATTTCTACAAGGGGAACTCTAGCGACTTTAAATTGTCAAAGTTAGAATCTTATGTTCATCAGTGACTAGTTCAAATCACTTTTTTTCCAGAATTTATATTTTTAATTCTTGCTTTTAATTTTAACGATATAACAGTTTTAAAAATTTAGAAGAAAAAAGTCAGCAAAATATTTGTTCATATTATTTAGCTAAAATACTATATAATGATAAATTGGTGAAGAAAGAACACTTCAAATTAACACATATATTAAACAATATTTGCAACATTATTGCCGCTGCTGTATTCTTATTGATCTTGGAAACCACAGTAGATAGTCAGAATTTGAAATTAAAACAGTTTTTATTGAAGTTATGACATTCCAGGCCCCAGGGCGCATTTTCTGTACTTTCGATTTGCTGTCTAATTCTTGCAAATTGGCATATATCCAATGGAATTATTCAATTATTATATCAAATGATTGGTGTTTGTTGTGCTCAATTTCTATTGTACATAGATATGTATACATATAGATGAGAGTATGTTTTTCCAAAGGTTTATCTCCTCCCCCAATCTATAGGACAGTAGAGTTCCAATAATGAATCCTAGAAAAACTGTAATTATCTTGTCCCCATCATCACCAACTATAGAAACTCTGCAGAGGATTTATAAGGGAAAATACATACGAATAATATTTAAATATTATACTAAATAATACCATTAACAACACCAGTATAATTTTGTTACTTACAATAACCGTTCAACAAACAGTTGAATTAGTTAGTTTACAAAATGGTAAAAACGGTAATGTGCAAGCTACGAGAATTTGATGAGGGATAAGAGCGGATACAGTGGGAATCATTAAGATATGAGCTCCTCCCCTCTTGGGTTTTTTAGGTTGAATAATGCTCTCCTGTAAATTTTAGAGTTCAAAACTTGTATAACTTCGCAAATAGCTGTCTGATTCATGCCGTCACAATGTTTCTGTTTAATATAACATAATACAGTTTTGGTATTGTGATGCAAATTAGCTTTAGAATAGTCTTAATTTTGTGTATTTTTATGACAAAACACTATATACATAATTTGTTTAATATGGAATGAATAAGTTTATTCAAATGGTTCATTTCAATCAGCCATTATGCTATTCCTTTTTAACAGTGAGATTTGATAAGTTTTAGACCTCCAACTAAAACAGTGTTTGTAAAGTCTGCACCCTGACCTGTTACTGACAATATCTCTCTCCTACCATCGCCATTGGATATTTGAGAGAAATTAATTTTATCCTTCGGATGATAAAAGATCCCAAGATTCAAAACACAACATTGCACTCAAAAACTTTAATTCTATTGAAAGTATTTTTTTGATTTACAAAAATTTAATATTTTGTTTATGCTCTTACATGACAAGATTCTTAGAAAATTGTTTCACTTTGGAGAATTGAACACTTTAAAAAGATAATATTTAAAGGACGAGGATTTTGAGGTGCCTCGTACGAGAAAATGAGGAGAATGTGGCTCAAACTAGAAATTGTTGTGACTGGCCTTCTTCCCCTCACTCGGTAAACAAAGCAAACTCTTCACCATTTAGGAGAAAACAGAAATGGCGGAGGGCGGAATAAGCAAAAAACAATTCACAGTTGAAGGTGGAATATCTGGACTCTAAGACGGATAACTTCTTTGAATAAAACGCCAGAGGGGTCCAGCAAGAAGTATCCATGCTGCAAGACTGCTCCAACATGAGAACCAGAGGCATCTACAGACAAAGATATCCGGGCAGAGGTGTGATTACTGCAGTCTTAGGAATGTCTCCAGTAGACATTGGAACCTAGAAATATGCCTTGGTTAAATCTAACTTAGTAAACACCTTGGAACCATGAAGCCTAGCTGAGAAATCCGCAATGTTTGGTCAAGGATATCTGTCAGGAAGGGTTTGAGTATTGAGACGGGGGTAATCGCCACAAGGCCTCCAGGAACCATCAGGTTTCTTCAGCATGAGTAAAGGGCTGGCCCAAGGAAAGCAAGAATGTTGGATGATCCCCGCGGATTCCATAGCTGCAAAATCCTTCCTTACAGATTCCATCTTTTCTGCATCAGGCCGGCAGGCCAGGCAAGGTAGGAAACCCTTGGAGGATACTACATCCGGGTACTTGGACAGGAAATCACAGAACTCCTCAGGGGTAGAGAGAAGAGCTGTGTAGAGATCTGAGCTGCTGTTGGATGAGTTAGATGAAAGGGCAGGCATAGATTCCAGGGTTGAGGAGTCAAGGAGGTAGGAACCTGCAACATCAACCAGGAGATGATTGTGACCTAAGAAATCTGAGCCCAGGATTGGCATGGAAATGTTGCAAGCAAAACTCCAGTCAAAACGTCTAGAACCGAACTGCAGAGCCAAACAGCAGGAACCATAGGTATTCATACCGTCAGCAGTTTTCAATTGGATCCCTGATCCTGGAGCTTAAGGAGAACAAGGCAGGTGAGGGAAAACTGACACAGAAGCTCCAGTATCCACGAGGAATTTGGCGGAACTCAGCCTGTTTTTGAGGAACAGAAGTGAGGACGAAAACTTGGTGGGAACTGTGTTATTTACATCCCCGCCATTAACTAGTTTCCCAAATGGGATCTTTCCCCATTTACGATGGTAACAGCACTCTGTTGAGTAAGAGGATGTTGATGGTCTTGAACTGCTGGTTCTAGCACAGCAAGAGGATAATCTTGTTCTGGGGTTGTGAGAAACTAGAGAAATATCCTCAAAAACCTGAGAAGAGAGAGATTGCACCATATTAACTCTTCCACATACTGTCAAGAGCTTATCTGCTCTGGTAGCCATTCATCGAGGATCAGTAATCCATTCAATCATAAGGTGAGACCGAATGTCCGCAGGAAGATGATCCATAAAAAGCCCTTGGAAGAAAAAACCTGCCTTCTCATCTTCAGGGAGGACAACTAACATTTTATCCATCAGCTCTGACGGTCTCTGATCAGTTAGAACCGGAATACTCTGGAGTGCTTGGTACCTCTGGAAGTTGGTCAGGGTATACATCTGAACAAGAGGGGATTTCAGGGCAATGTAAGGTTCTGCTGGAGAGTCGCGAAGTAGGTCTATGAGACAGGTGTCAACATCCTAGGGGAGGGCTGCAACACAGTTATGGAACTGGGTCAGGGAGGCCATTACTCGTTTAATCACAAACTGGGAGTCAGCCTGTATGAACTAGACCTCAGGAGAATCCGTCCAAAAGGTGGGCAACTTGATGGAGACAGTTGTTAGAGAACCCTGGCCATCAGGGTGACTTGCCTTGTCTGGGTTTGAAATCGCTACAGTCGCTGAAAAAGAAATCCTACTTTGGTATTTGAGTATAAAAGAGCAGGAACTCCATAGAAACCAATTTCAGATGCGCCAACAAGAGGTATCTATTTCCAACAAAAATATCACGTTGGAGAAACCAAAATGTATCTTAGCTTCCGGGCTGGAAAACGATATCTACAGGTCTCCATAACTCTATACTTTAACCATTTTTAAACACATTTTAAGAGCTCAAAGCTTTACAGACGATTGTAAAATCTTTTGCAGACTTTTTGAAAATGTTTTTACATGTTTTTAAAATTTATTTATTTAAAAAGAAATATATTTCAATATAAAGCTTAGGTCGTCGACTTTCTTAAAAGTGGCTGATTTTGTTAAAACTGTAAAAATTGACTGAAATATTGCCAAAACACAAAAATAAATCAAAAAAATCATTAAAAATGAAAACAAATAACGTTTTATCTGAAGGCATGCAATTTTATTATAGGATTTTTTATTATGTATTTAGATAAACCTTTATATATATATGAAAACAAAACTTAATGAAATGATGTGTAACATCAAGAGCCACCCTTATACTTTACAGAATGCTTAAAAGATCGTCAGGAGAAGCAAATAAAAATTCTAAAAATATGTCATGTATATTTTTGAAAAGTACATATTTTTGCAATTTAACAAAGGAAACAAGCAAATAGAATGAGAATCAACAAAATTAAAGTTTAATACATTATTATACATTATAATAAAGTTTTATAATCAGTAATGTTTCAATTTCACTCTGGATAATAATCCTTTTGAAAATGTCTAATTATGTGAGAGTTAATTTGTATTGTGAGTTTGTAAAGTTTTAATTACTTAATGCGTCTTTACTTAGTATTCCTTTCTTAAATTGTCCCATCCCATAATTCATATCATTATATTCCCAATCAATTATCTTTTCCAATTCTCATTGTTCAATCCAACCAAACCATCTCTAAGATCAATTTCAAACATTCTTGTGCCTATATATTTATTTTCATCATTAATGCGTTTTTTAATATAAAATACAATTTTAAAAAAGGTTTTGTCAAATCTGAAGTAAAATGTAATCTTAATATTATATTTTTAAAATCTTGAATATATTACCTTAAACTTAAAACTTTTAACGTATTTAGCATCAAAACTCATACAAGACCTCACATTTCGCACATAGTCATAGGAGTAAAACAGGTTTTCAATATGATATTTCTTGAATACTTACTTGCATGTATGAAGCTTAAAAAGAGATAAAGTGTACACCTTCTTTAAAGTAGCTTAAAAACAAATATCTTTTTGAATAGTATGAACTGAACCAACATTCGTTAATCCTAGATTATTTAATTAGCCAAAAGTTGTATTACACATTACTGCATCGTTAGTTTGGGCATTTTCAAGAAGTAAAACATTTTATATATAGTTCAAATACGTGTTATTTCCCTCATGACTAAATACCATTTACAACTTTGCTCCTTCATCATAGATCTATTGGATTTTTTTAATTTGGAAAGAAATTGTCGATTCAGAGGTTTCTATATCTCATAACTTTTATTAAAAATTGTGTTGTGGAGTGTTGAGCCCTGGCAGTCCTCCCAGAGAAAATTCTCCAGAGTCATAAAGATAAAATTGAATTTTATCTTCCGACTTTCAGAGTGGAGCTTGTTTATTTCTTACATTATTCAAATATTCATTTAATAGAATAAACAAATTATATTTTTGAATTATTCGGAGAATATATAAATGATAGCAGAAAAAGAAAGAGAAACATTTTTTTTATTAGTATCATATGGTTTGGTTAAAATGTCGAATATTGAAATTGTAAACGATGATGATGGTATGTAGTGAAGTAATGTTTTTCTTTTTGGTTTCTGAACTAATGGTCGAGTACTACCTTAATATTTGCCAACTTATCAAACCTATAATTTACATTTTTAAGGTTTAATCGACTTCTGTAAATGTTTTCAGGCATACAAATTTGATGATAAGGCAATGCAAAAATCGACAAGTATTTTGCCAACTACTTCTTACAAATTTAAGCTATACACAAACGCTTGGCATTTTTAGAATGTATATGTCTAGGCCTACAAAAATGCATGAGTGAGTTGGCGAGGTAAAACCAAAGGCAAAGGAGTTGCGACATTTCAAAGCCGAGGCTGTATAAAACTTTGATGACTAAGTTTCAAACTTGTCTCTATCTCAGTGAAGGGGGTAAGGAAAACTATATCTCAGTGAAGGGGGTAAGGAAAACTATATCTCAGTGAAGGGAGTAAGGAAAACTATATATCAGTGAAGGGGGTAAGGAAAACTATATCTCAGTGAAGGGAGTAAGGAAACCCCAATACTGGTGAGGCAAATTCCGGACGGGTCAAATTATTTTGTTATAAATAATTCTGTTAGACTTTGTTAGGAAGCAAAAGTATTCCTAGCCTTAATATCTTCTCGTGCTTTCGTGAAGAACTTAGACTTTAATAATTTAAATCCGCATACCTACGTGTACTGTACACATATTGTACATAAATATCTACCTTTGCTACTTATATGCTTTTATAGAATTTTCGATGCTGGTTGTATTGTTATATATAGATTGTACAATTTACTATATTTATGCAGAAAGAAAATAAATCAAAATATTCAATTCCCTAGCAGAGGTTCTACTTTCTCCAGAAAATAATAGTGGATGAAAGCATGAAACATTTTAAAATATGGAATTTTACTAATAAGAGAGATTAATTTGACTTCAACTAAATTATTGGTTTCATGACCAAGGACTATAAAACTAAATTTTTACACAATGAAGTAAAATTCGATCAGAATGTTGCTTTTGCCGTGTAAACTAGAAATAAAGTCCGGCCGCTTTAAATATTCTAAAGTATTATAACCTCGTCATTATCTGCTATGAGAACCAGGACTATGTCTCAAATCTCTTGGAAAAAACACTACTTCTTTTAGGCTCACTCTCTAGAGATAACTATGCTCTGAACAGTACCAGGTATGGGTTAAATCTATAAAAGATTGCCCGATTATATACTTTATTGTTTATTTATGACTGTAAAAATACAACAGTTCAATCCACAATCTGATGAGAGCAGGAGCCTCAGAAACCAACCTGTCTCCAGCATTCCGGATCCTCAGAGACCTGACCTTATCTGCTCTGGTCAGAGTCTCCTCCTTGACTGCAAAGTGGACTTCCACTATTTCCAAAGAATTGACGATCCAGTCCAAGGACCACGTCACAGCTCCAGCCAGATCAGTCTCCAGGTACCAACAGAGTACATCCGGATCCGGGAGAATATATATCTCTCAACAGCAGACCTTAACTTAATATCTCCCGGAGCGTAGCATCTTAGAGGATCAGGAATCTTCCTCCATCTTACTCCCCAGAGATTATCTCCAGTGGATACCAGCTTGTTCAACAGAGAACCCATCAACTGCACCCCCATGGAAGTTATCTACGGATCCACAACCATTCTCATTGGAGTGGATACAGAGTCATACTTCAGAACTAATCTCCACGGATTAAAGTGTTGGAACAAAGCGTAACAAAGACATAGAAAAAAGTGCATGAAGAGACACAATAAAAAAGTACAAAGTTCAAAAGAAAGGAAGAACAAACAAATAGTAAGAGTATTTTTTTAAAATAATGATAAGTAGAAAAATTTGTTTTCTCATAAAGGGTGTCCCACGAAACTTGACAGTAGAAAGAGGACTTGAAATATTCTTTAATATTTAAAAATATTTGCGCATTCATTTGTCAACCTAGTTTTATATGTATGATTTATGAAACAATTATCACAAACTTCTCCTAGTTCGTGGCCTGTATTTTTGTTTTATCAAAAATGATCTTCAAGTCGTCTTGCTTCTGTCATGTTTAGTGGGTCACCATGTACCGCAGTCCAAACCAGGACTCATCGCATTAAAAAGGAAATTAGAAAACCCCATAATTTAAAAGATAAAAAGAAATGCTTTTACGTTCTCTTTATTCTTTAAAAATAATTTTCTAGTTATATACAAAATAATTAGTAATTTTCTAACTGCTGGTTTTATATTTGAAAATTTGATTAAGTTTACCAAACTCATCCAACCTATAGAAGAATCTCGAA